GCTGTTCTCGCGCGATTTGCGTAGTGGCAAAGTCAAGAAGATTTGTGTACTCGTCGCGGAAGACGAGTATGATATCGATGTTCTGTTGGCAATGGTATTCGCTGAGAATGAAAGGGTTCTTAGCCCCTCATCATTGGACGAGAGAATCCTTGATGAGAAGACTCGGATTGAGCGATACACATCTCTATTGTTGGAATCGCTAGAAACAAATCCGATCTGCGATGTTTGACACAATATAGAGATATACTCCCAGAAACAGTGCCGTACCAGTTACCAAGGGATAAGGTTCTCGTCATGAGATTGACCTGAAACCAGTCTTAAAAGTACTGTGTCATGAAGCAGTGGCCACTGCATCATGAACAGGTACTAGCGATTGAAAAGTCCTTTGCCGATTGCTTGGCAGCGGGCCGTGTGAGGGATGCTATTTCTCTAAATATCTCTCCTACCTTCTGTGTCCGAAATGCCACAGGAGGATGGCAGATATTACTATTCTTTAACAAGTTAAATGCTGCAAGTTCACCAGCTCAGACGCCGATACCAAAGAGAGATGTCATCAAAAATAATGCGGCAAAGAGTGCCATCTTTCATCGATGGATCTGATGCATGAGTTCTATTAGATCCTTATGCGTGAAAGGGCATCTCATACGCTGCCTTGAGATACCCAAGCGGTATGCTTTGGGAGTGGCTAGTTTTGCAACAGGTATTGAGTAACGCCCCTGCTACGTTCGAAAGATGCGTCACAAACATGTTTAAATCCGTGCGAGAATTTGAACCTAGCTATTTCGGCGACGTGTTAGTCCATAGCCGGGCCATGGATGGACAGACGGATGTGAAAGTGCACCGACTCTACACGTTCAAAAGGTTCTTACACTGATTTTTAATCAAACCACAGCAATATAGTCATGCAGCTTTTGCACTCCAAAGTCGATAAACGGTAAAAGAATACTTGCTTTTGATAAACACTCATAGGTGGATCGCTACACAAAAGTCAGACTGGTGATTTGCCAAATAACCTACTTTCAGGAATCTACACGTGAGAATATGTTGTATGCCAGCCTTAAGAAAAGCATATTCTCTGCTAGTGAAATACCACTTTTGGATGCATCGTGGGTAATCACGGCATCCGGACCGATCCGGAGATGATCAAGGTGATCACTGACTAGCCAGTACCTAACGACATAAATGGACTTAAAACATTCCTTTGTCCAGCGGCGTATTTGCACAAATGCTCTCACAATTACACTGAGATGACTGTACATCTTTATCGTTTGTTGAAAACGAACGAGAAGTGGAAATGGAGTGCTGGTTTCCAGAGACTTTCAAAGGTATTGAGCAAAGCTTGATAAGCTCGCCAGTTTGGTCAATTGTAGACCAAGATAGACCGTTTCATGTGATCTGCGATGCAAATGAGATTTCCATCGGATGTGCACTGATGAAGTATGACGCAGAAGGTGCTGAGCGTGTCGTCTGATAACCGTCACTGCAGCTGCAACCGGCTAAACTTAACTACCCATTTTATGACAAAGACCTCCTTGCCATGTAGTATGCTTTGGCGAGATTCAGGGTCTACCTACTACGTGGTAGACCCTTACAGTTTACAAGGGCTATCCGTCCTTACGCACGGACGTTAACAGTCCCACCTCTCGCAACGAATGGCGAGGAGGCTGTCGCTCTTCGTAAGGTATAAATTCTTCATGGGATATAAGGCAGGATGGCTAAATGTCGTTGCTGATGCTCTTTCGCGCCAGCTCGATTTCGAACTGGATGCGTTACCCGACTCTGGTCCGACCAAAGTCGCGGTGTTGACGTCGATTGTTCCGTCGTCAACCTTATTCGAAAACATTCGCAAGGCGTACAATCCGGCGATGGTGCGTTTGATGGACCATTAATCGCAAAAGGCCCGTTTATCCCTGAAAGATTTTTCCTCAGTATATAGATCCTCCATGGATGAATAAACACTTTACAACGTCTTACTGAAGTATTTAGCCGTTGCCTGCAACACGCCTTGTGTCGTCGGACCAAACCATAGTGACCTGCGACTGCGAATCATGCGTGAGTACCACGAGGCACCTACTCGTAAACATCGTGGTCGAGAGAAGACATGTCTTACAGCTAGTCGCGAATTTTAAAGGTTCCGCCAATATCAGTTATTGCGTATGTACGTCCGCGCATGCGAAGCATTTCAACGAGTGAAGTCTGATTCTTCACTTCGTGCGCCGTTGCAACCCTTGACCATTCCAGCAGAATGCTAAGAATCTGTCTCAATGGACTTTGTCTTTGGATTCCTCGCGACACACGCAAGAGTACTGTTATTCTTGCGTTCGCTGAGATTTTTAGTAATAATGGTCCACCTGGTCACTGTACCTGAATATTTCAGCGCATCGGCATGTGTCGGTGCTTTTATTGACACGATCTTTTGTCTTTGTGGGCTGCATCGTAAACTCTTCTACGATCGAGACCCACGGTTCACTGCTGAATTCTGGAGATCCGCGTTCAGAACACTCGGAACGCGCCTTCAGATGTCGACCTCTGACCACCCTGAAACAGATGGTCAGATAGAACGTGCCGAATGCATTCTTGGGGATATCCTTCGGGAACTGTCCAATCGTTTACGACTTGGAACGAATTCTTGCCAGTGGTGAAATTAGCCATCAAGAACACGGTGCAGGCATCGACTAGACATGCACCTTTCTACGTGAATGGCTCGGGCCATCCATGCCTACCCACCTTTATCAAGTGTAGTCCTAGCTTGAAGGAAGGAGTTACTCATTTGAGAGAATGCCAAATCGGCTCTGACTCATCACATACTGACCACGAGGTCACTGCGTATGACGCCGATGTCGATCACATCGAAATCGGTGAAGAAGATAAAGTAAGAGCGAGGATGCTCTTGCTCACTATGGTACTTACTTGCCGCAGTGTGCTCCAAGCGCACTGTAGCTAAAGACAGCGGGTAAGCAGATGGATTTATACTGGCTTGCGAAATGGCTGTCCATTTCGTGCAGAATCCATCGCAAAAGTGGTGGACTGAAAAAAGAAAAACGCCGACAAGAATGGAAGTGCAAATGTTGTTCCATTAAATGAGGTGACCTCGTCTTACTATCTACGGTAATTCAACCTAGACACATAGAGACAAATGTGGGTAGGAACAAGTTACGACCCAAGTTCGGTCCATTTCGTGTGTTGCGCCCCTTAGGCAATGTATACACTGCTAAAATGCCACGTAAGATGAACAAGTATCATGCGCTCTACGTCAATAGTCTTAGGCCGTATTACCAGTACTTGACTTCTTTCGGTGAAGAAATTTCTTGCGCTCAAGCATCTCCAATAGGTACTTGTGCTCGTGGTGCTGACTATCAGCCCGGGTCTAAAGTCCGGATATCTCCTCACATAGCAGAGAGAAATCTTAACGATCTTCCACTATATCGTTGCGAAGAGAAGGCTGTACTCGCTCATTCTCAAGCTGGACAAAATTAACTCTCTTCGATCCCTTGACCGTTCCGAGGAGAGATAGTTCACAGCTGATATAAGCTAGACTTACGCCTCTCTCGTGCTCGAGTTCCTTGCACAACTCACACGTTACGAGCTCGAGTTGACACACAGCTTTAATCGGACTTGCGAATCCGTCGTAAGTCTTTTTTACTCCTCCGCCTTATCCGTTGATTGATGCGCACTATGCCAACTCTTCCTCGTGGAACGCTTGTTAAAATTACACGACGTGAAGAAACGTCGGACGAGTTGCCTCGTCCGTGGCGCGGGTTTCCACACTCGGCAGATGCTTGGGATCCTTGATCTCAACTGCTAATTGATACTTTGGGCCTTGTCGAGCAGTATGACAAGGCGTATCTGATGCCAAAGAACGCCCTTCGAAGAACGAATGCTTAGCGTGCTTATGAAGGGATTTCATTTTATCAATTCTTCGCACATGTATCGAGTGACGCGTACCTTTCACCAGGGGTAGTCATCGAGTATGCTTCCTCTGGAGCTTTTACCAAGTTGTTCACACAGCTTTGGCACGTATCACCCCAAGAGAGCATGGAAGCCCGGTCTCTCTTAGATAACGCATGCAATTTAAAACGTGCACCCCCGTAGAGGTCCGTTGCTCAAATTGATGTCGAGCTAGCAATAGATTATCTAGTTAGGTATCATGCCCAATCTAACTAATGTTGTGGATGAAAGAGTTTATTGCCTGCATCAACGACGGACCGTCACGCTTGTGATTCCCACTGTACCATCGATGCTTAAGAACACATCGATGAAGAGATCATAATCATTGCGAAATTTATTCGTACTGGAATAAAGCTTATGCAGCTTTGATGAATCAAATAATTTTAATCGATACCGATCACTCGTCGTGGAAGACAGACGAGCCAAAACTCTCTGACGAGGTTTTCACGGCTTCTTCTTAGGAGCAAAGCGCAAGATGTTGCGATCCACAGTCTCTTGTCTGGTGCCAACAGAAGCACCGCTACCAGGATCATCCCGATCACCCGGACTCTGATGCACGATTGCATCACCGTCAAGATCGTCCCTGTAGAGGGGTAGCCTGTCACATGATATTGACACCAAACGGTGTCAATAGGAATATTGTCTGGCATGACAATTCCCTGCCAATATTCTCCGAGATAGATAATATTGAAGGAACAGTATCCCCTTTTGGATAAAATTCATGCGCTGCTCCAAGATTGGTTGACATAAGACATATCAACCATAGATTGCCACCAATCGCTGCTAGACGCGTGCAATGAGTAGTGAGAAGGTTGTCGTCATACGACGATGTAGTTTAATATAGCTAGATAAAGATTAGTGACATACTGATAGCTTAACTATATTGAATACAGTCCTTATTTTACCTTTACTTGAACGAGTCGTTTAAGTAGATTAGCTTCCTCTGCACGTACTAGTGTACGTGAAGTTTCGTGACACCCAGACAAAGGGTGCCCCGTTACACCTGAAAGCACTTAGTAGTCCGTCCAACGAATACGTCGTGTCCGTCCAACATGAATATGTTGAAAGCAGAAGACGACACGTGTGACGTGAAAGCCTACTCCCATCTGAGTGAATCAACGTGGGAGGTAGTTGGCCGCATTAGTTTGCTCATGGACGAACCCGCCATCAGTGGTATGTTAGAGTCTCTAAGCAGTGACCAGAAACATGCTTCTATCAAAAAGTTCCTACAAGGGGAACTTTCCGTCGAACGACAAAAGATAGCCTTGCTACAGCAGCAAGGCTCTCATCAGTCGATGGGCGGGCCGACGCATATTCTTCGACTGGAATCATTGAAGATCGATATCTCAAGGTACAAGGGAACCGATGAAGATTCCCTTTTGAGATGGTTCGTCGAGTTAGACGATGCCACCAGGGCCCTTCACATCGAAGGTGACGATATGCAAGTCACCGTCGCCCTGTCAAATTTGACGGGACGGGCAAAGACTTGGGCCTTAGGGCTCAAGCTTCACGACCAAATTGTGTTTGAGTCGTTGGAGATCTTGAAGTCTCGGCTTAAAGAGAAGTTTGAGCCGCCGAAAGCTGAGTTCAGAGCACGCTCTGCAATCTTGAGGCTAAAGCAAGGTAAGCGTGATGTGCACGCTTACGCACAACACCTGCGCTGCCTTGCGAGTAGCGTTACGGAGAACCCTGCTGATGAGCACACGCTCATCAACTTGTTCATATAAGGCCTTGTGGATGGGCCGGTGAAAACCTACATGTTCCAAGAGAACTTCCTTACTTTGGAAAGGGTGATAACGTATGCGGAACAAGAAGAATTAAGCCTAAGGGACAGTCTCAGGCTAACGCTTCCAACTATCGTCCGACGAGGCGACAGGAAACAGGACGTCCCGAACCAATGGACATTTGCTACATCGACAACGAGAACTCTCGCTATCTATTTCACAAGCGAACGGCAAGATGCCATCGCTTTCAGAAGATTGGACACTACGCTCATGAGTGTAGTGTCTCAAGCACCGCGTCACTTGCAAAGACAGGACGTGATAACCACCGTTGGCCAAGGAAAGATCCGAGGCGTGGGTACGACCATGTCGCTAAGCCACGACAGCAAGTCGGACCGTCAAAAAACGGACAGGGTTAGTAGGGGTGGAGCACCCTGCTGATACAGCAACGTCAAGAGAAAGTGCCGGAATCTTGACGAAAATTGCTCCCAACACAGTCTCTGTGCGTTACTGCCCCTAGTTACGAGAGTTCATGATCACTTTGAAGATCGAAGTGACAAGCGAAATGTCACTTCGCGCCCTAGTTGACTGCGGGGCGTCGAACAGTTTCATTTGACGCCAGTGGCTAGAGACATTAGAATCAACAACGTTGAGCGAGAGTTCCCTTTAATAAGCATGATGGTATGCCTTGCAACAGGCGTGTCCATATCAGTGAGCAAACTTGTAGTGGGGATCCACTACACGCTAGAAGGGGAGCAGTACGATGATGACTTCATTGTACTGGATTTGGATGACAAATTTAATTCTATCCTCGGTCAGCCATGGCTTAAAAAATACCAGCCATGTATCAGCTAGCAGCATCGACCCGGTCAATATGCCTGTCGTTTGTTATCAGATGGCCATCTGATGGACATCTTGGAGCTTCCACAAGCGTGTGGATGTACTACGAGTGAGTGCGATGGCCTCACTGGTGGTGCGGTCGTTTGTAAGACTGCACAAGATCACGGTGTAGAAGGCCACCTACACTGTGGAACCAGCTTCCGGTACCTTTGTAGAGACACATCCTTCGCCGAAGGTTCACCACTCGAAAAGATCGAGTGGATCAGAACATGGAAACACACCACGCAGGGTGCATCCAAGAAGAGAGATTATTGCTGTTCAGGATGAAGAGCACGTTACAGCGAGGTCGACTAACAGCGAGTCGATCGTAAAGCAAACACTATCGAGTAAACGAGAGCCGATCTAAGATGACGTGACTGTGGTAGTGCACCCACAGTCAGAACACGTATTGAAAGAAAGCTTCAGCGTTACTGAGAGTGATAGCTCCCGAGAGAGCTATGTTGAGGGTGTGTTCTTTAACCACCTGATGATGTGTTTCCCAGGAAATCACCGATGCAGTGAATATCTTGGTCAATGACGGATCAAGTGTAGGCGCTTATACACTAGATCTGGTTTTACCTCTCAAGTCAGCTTCGAAAGTAATTTAGTTGCCACCGCTAAAATCGATTTGATTTTTGCGAGATCCGCGTAATCGTTACAGAGGACGAGTACGCCGCCGATATTTCGGTCGGCACATATGTTTGCTGAGAACGAACGGGTTCTCAGTTGCTCATCGATGGACGAGAGTGTCCTCGATGAAAATACTCGGATTAAGCAAAACGCGTTTTAATCTTGGGAGTGTTTTGAGACAGATTTTTTTGTATAAGGATTTGGTCGATTTCAGGTATTTTTTCCCGGAATCCGTGCCATGCGAGCTGCCCAAGGACAAAGGCACTCGGAATGATATCGAACTAAGACCTGGTTCGAAGTACTGTGTCATGAAGCAGTGGCCACTGCCTCGTGAACAGGTCACAGCGATCGACAATTTCTTTGCCGATCGATTAGCGACTGGTCATTCGAGGGAATCAACATCCCCACACATCTCTCCGACCTTCTGTGTGCGAAAGTCCACAGGAGGGAGGTGGATAGTGCACGCGTTCAACAAATTGAACACTGCAACGGTACCGGCGCAAACGCCGATCCCAAGAAAGGACGTCATCATACATGGTATGTCAAAGAGTACCATATTTTCGTCCATGGATCTGATAGATGGATTCTATCAGGTCCTCATGCGTGAACGGGATATCCCTTACACAGCAGTGAGCAGCCCCAGAGGTATGCTCTGGGAGTGGCTAGTGATGTCACAGGGGTTAAGTAACGGCCCCGCAACGTTTTACAGATGTGCTACAAATATGTTGCGATCGGTGCGCGATTTTGCATCGAGTTACTTCGACGATGGATTCGTCTATAGCCGGGCTATGGACGGAAAGACGGACGTAAAGGTTCATAAAATCCACGTCTGGAAGGTTCTTACACTAATGCGAGAGCAAAAGTTTTCGCGGACCTCAAAAATCAAACATTCGCAGCGAAAGAAAAACCACTTCTTGGCTGCATCGTGGGTAAAAACGGTGTACACCTTGATCCGGGAAAGATCAAGGAGATTAGCTACTGGCCTGTGACAGTCGACGTCGTGGGACTGCGAAAGCTCCATGGCTTAGCGGCGTACTTGCACAGGTACTCGCACAACTACGCCGAGATGACCGTACATATCTCTCGTCTGCTAAAGATAAAACGAGAGGTGGCCATGGAGCGCTGAGTGTCAGCACTAGTTTGAAGGTATCAGGAAATTCTTGGTGCAATCGCCTGTGTTGGCGATTGCAGACCAGGATAGACTATTTCATGTGGTCTGTGACGCCAGCTATTGCAATCGGCTGCGCGTTAATGCAGTACGACTCAGACGGCGTTCAGCACGCCATTTGTTATCAATCGCGTCGGCTGCAAGCAGATAGCTTAGTTACCCGGTGCATGACAAGAAACTCCTTGCCATGAAATAGGCACTGGCTAAGTTTCCGTTATATCTCTTAGTAGATAGGCCCTTCATCGTTGATATTGACCACGCGTCGTTACGCACGGCCGTAAACAGTCCACACCTCTCGCAAAGAATGGCGATGTGTATGTCTTTCTTCATGGAGTACAACTTCTCCGTCGAGTATAAACCAGGACGACTTAATGTCATCGCTGATGCTCTTTCGCGTCGGCCCGATTTAGAGCCGACTGCTCAACACAACAGTAGGGGTGAACCCACTGTAGCAACGCTAACATTGTGTGTTCCGTCGTCGAATCTGCTCGACGACGTGCGAAGAGCATACACAGAAGATGAGTCTCTTCTGCGGTTGATAGATTATGTATCCAATCCATGCAGTCAAGCTTTTAAAATCTTGACGTCTCTATACCGCTCTTCAACCGAACGGTATTCTGTTCGTGATGGACTGCTGTACTATACAGTAGTCAACGGCGACCCACCTCGTGTCGTCGTTTCGGCTCATGATGATTTGCGACTGCGCATCATATTTGAGCGTCACGATGCCCCTCCATGCGGCCATCGCGGTAGAGAAAAGACTTACCTCACGGTGAGTCGTGACTTCTACTGGCCCCGCCAGTATGATTTTGTGCGAAAATACATTCGCGCTTGCGAAGTTTGTCAACGGGTGAAGCCTAGTCCTTCATCCTGCGCACCCTTGCAGCCTCTTCCGATTCCGACAGAGTGTTAGCAGTCCGTATCGATTGACCTCGTATTCAAGTTTCCCAAAGACGTTCACAAGAATACTGGTATTCTTGTGTTTGTCTGCCCATTTCAGCAAGATGGTACATCTTGTTGCTGTACCGGAGTCAATCACAGCCCAGGTATGTGAACGTGTCTTCATCAATACTATCTTCCGAATTCACGGGTTAACCCGTGCACTCGTGTCTGATAGGCACCCCCGCTTTACGGTGGAGTTCTGGCAATCCGTGTTCCGTTCACTTGGAACGCGTTTGTAGATGTCAACTTCTGACCATCCCAAAACAGATGGTCAGACGGAACGCGTTCACTGCGTCCTCGAAGAGATACTTCGAGGGTATGTCCACTCGTTTACGAGTTACGTGAGTTCTTGCCGGTGGCAGAATTCGCCATCAACAATTTGGTTCATGCGTCAACAACGCGTAAATCGTTCTTCGTGAATGGCCTACGTCATCCACGTTTACCCGCCTTTTTAGAGTGTGACTTTTTTTGGGGGGGGACTCGCTCAAACAAAAACCGATCTGGTTCTTGCTCATCACCCGTCGACAATGGTGTCGACGTGATGGATGCCGATGTCGATGCGATCGACATCGATGATGATGATGACGACGATGCTGGTATATTTCATCATCATCGATGACTGCCACAGTGAGGACGATGACGCCTTCACTGGTGAAGACAGCGTTCTTTTAGCAGTGCACACGAAGCGCACTGCTGTTGACAAGGACGAATCAGCAGAGGAATTTCTACTGACTCGCGAAGCGGTTGTCCTCTTCGTTTAAGACTCTTTTGCAGATGCACAAGACAGACAGAAAAGAAAGGCTGACAAACATGGAAGAGAAGATGTTCTTTCATTAGATGAAGGAGACCTAGCTTTACTGTTTACAGTAAACCTACCGAAACACTCAGTGACAAACGTGGGCAGCAGTTAATTACTGCCCAGGTACATCGGTCCATTTCGTGTGTTGCGCCGAATGGGCAACGCATACACGATTGAACTTCCCCGTAAGATGCGTAGGTATCCTACGTTTAATGTTGGATGTCTCCTCCCGTACTATAAGTACGAGACCGTTTCTAAATGCGAAGAACAACTCCGCGGTCGAGAGCCGAGACCACCTTCGAGTGGTCCCGTTTCTACGAGCCAGTCTGGTCGACTAGCGAAGCGACCTGTTCACGCAGTTAAGCGATGTCTCGACGAGCTGCAGCTAGCTCGTCACGAAGAGAACGAGTCGAACGTTCGTTCTCAAGATCCGCAAACGCAAACGCAGCACGATCGTTCGAACGATCGTGCGCCATGTAATTGTAATTATCCCCCACACCATCCTGGAGCTCATAACGCCGAGATCGTTCCTGAGCCAGGACATCTTGCACCTGTTCCGTTACACGGTTCAGCTCCTGAACATTTAGTTGATCCGACCCTCGAGCTGGATCAGGTGTTCCCACCGCCACCACATCCTTTGGTGGACTCAAGCGGTGGTCAACGCTTCCTAGTGGAGCGTATTTTGAACCACCGCGATGTGAATGGCGTCCGGACGAGTTACCTCGTCCGCTGGCGTGCTATCCACCGGCCTAAGACAGCTGGGAGCCTCGTGCCCAGCTAATTGTTGATGTGCTGGGACTCGTCGAGCAACGTTAAGAGACACACCCGCTGCGTTCGAAGAAGAGCTTTCGAAAAACGACTTCCCCGAACGTGATTACAGGAATTACAAAGTGTCAATCCCTTCGGCCATCTCAAAAGGGATACGCGCCCTCCAGTAGGGGTCATTAGGGAGGTAGGCCTCCCTATGGGCACGATCTAAGTTCTCCAGGCAACTTTGACACGGGTCACATCACGAGATACAGGGTAATCCTGCCTCTCTTGACAGTCAATGCAACTTGCACCGTACACCGATTGGTTTACGCTTCACATCCGGATGCTATCTGCATCAAGTTTGGCGAGTCAGGCCTCACGGCCAATGCACTCAAATATGTGGACAAAGACTTTCTATCCTTGCAATATGGATTTGCCGTCTTGAACACGGCTACCATTGAACCACCGATGTTTAAGAATGGAACGGTGAAGAACTCTCCCTCAGCACGGATTGTTTCTGTGCTGGAATCAGGTGGGCAAATCTTTCTGCAATAGAACAACGGGATTCGATACCGTTCGGGAGTCTTGCCGGCCAATCGGTCCAACTCTCTGGATGATGGCATCCACTGAGACTCCACTTGATAAGCGTTGCGCAGGACATTTCGGTCCCTAGCCTCTTGATTGGCGCCAGCATGTGCGCTGACACCAGTGTTACCCCGATCCCTTGAGTTACTTCGCTCGTGGTGAGGCAAACATTTGTCGGAACAATTGCTCGTTCCGAAGATCTCGGACATGATACCGCCGCGTTGACCAGAGCCAGTCAACACGGCTCTTGCAGTGTCCGCCCCGGGTAATCCCGAGGCGTGAGGAGTCGAATTTGAGTCGGATGCATCATCCGACTCGCCCGAATAGATGAGCTCTATCTCAGACTCGTCTTGATTACGACCCGAGGTACCCGCTGCAGACCCAACAGATGTACCTGTCGCACGTGGTGACTCACCACGTGGAGGATTCACGACAACAGGCGACGAATCACCTGATGCTGAGGTGTGAGAGGCACTTTCCGCGGCTATAGTAGCAACTCGATTGGTTTTCGAAACCAGGCGTTGAATTTGCATATGCATGTAATTTAACCAACAAGACTTCCTTTCCCAAAATGATCCAACGGTGGTAACCCTGTAACAATCGATTTAAATTCTACAACGGGTGATTGATGGTCAAGAGGGGATGATGTATCGGAGTAGCCGGTTACATGATATTGACACCAAACGGTGTCAATAGGAATATTGTCTAGCATGACAATTCCCTGCCCATATTGTCCGAGATAGATAATATTGAAGGAACAGTATCCCCTTTTGGATAAAATTCATGCGCTGCTCCAAGATAGGTTGATATGAGACATATCGATTGGTGGCAATCTATGGTTGATAACCATAGATTGCCACCAATCGCTGCTAGACGCGCGCAATGAGTAGTGAGCAGGTTGTCGTCATACGACGATGTAGTTTAATACAGTTAGATAAAGATTAAAGTTACATTGATAGCTTAACCATCCTAATAACAGATCTCTTTTTACCTTTACTTAACGAGTCATTCAATTAGATTGGCTTCCTCTGCACGTACGTGCACGTAGGTAGCCGGACGCACACCTGCTTACACTGTAACGGGGTGAATCGTTACATAACAATTTATAAGAAATTGTTATTAGAATATAACTATAAGAGTCATATTCTCAGAATTTTGTCATAAGGACAAATATTCTGTAGCACTTACGAGTAGTTCCTAATTGGTTGATATATGCCATTATATCAACCAACGAAGACGCGCCACGACAGACGCACGCAATAAGTGGTGAGCAGATAGTTGATATGCACATTTGTATTTAGACATAGTTAGATGAAGATAAACAGTGATTTATTGCAGACATTAACTACTATAAATACAGTTCTACTTTTTACTTGAACCAAGTACTCGCTTCTTCTTGCCGTCTTCCTCTGCACGTACCAGTGTACGTGAAGTTTCGCGGCATCGCCTTGTTCTGTCATCAGAAAAAGTAGCTTGTACTGTCATCAGTGCAAGCTTGAGGGTGCCCCGTTACACCTGGTAGCACTTTGTAGTCCGTCCAAGGACCACGTTCACATCTAACATGAATGTGTGCGATGATGAAGATGACCAAAGCTTTCACGCTACGCTTGACGGCTACTCCCATTTGAGCGATGTCGAATGGGATGCGGTTGAACGAATGGGTTCAACCATGGGCATCCATGCTGTTAGCGTCATGCTAGAGGCTCTCAAAAGAGATGCCCAACATGCTACTATCGCCAAGTTCATTCAAAATGGACTTGACGCCGAATGCGAGAAGGTAAACTTGCTTCACCAACAAGGTTCTCAACAAGCATAGTTGTTGAGAGAACAGGGTGTTCAACAGTTTGAACTGTTGAGACAGCAGCAGGCTGCTGCTGGCGGGTCGATGCACTCGCGTCGACCCGAGACTTTGAAGATTGACATCTCTAAGTACAGAAGGGTCGAAGAGGACTCCCTCTTGAGATGGTTCGTCGAATTGGATGACGCCATAAGGGCGCGTCGCATCGACGACGGGGATATGCAAGTTGCATGTGCCCAGTCAAATCTGGCAGGACGTGCCAAGACTTGGGCACTGGGGCTCAAGTTGCACGACCCATATGCGTTTGGGTCGTTGGAAGTATTCAAGTCGCGGCTCAGACAAACGTTTGAACCGCCTAGAGCTGAGTTCAGGGCTCGAACCGAACTCTTGAAGCTCAAGCAGGGTAAGCGTGATGTGCACGCTTACGCTCAACATATACGACATCTCACGAGTTGTATAAGTTCCAATCCGGTGGATGAACACACGTTGGTTTCGGTGTTCATGCAGGGTCTTGCGGATGGTCCCGTCAAGACTCACCTGTTCCGACTTGAACTAGATTCACTAGAACAAGCCATTTCCATTGCGGAACAGGAAGACTTCAGTCTGAGACAGGCTCGCGCCATCTCGACATCATATCGTCAACCGAGACGATATGACAGCGGAGGTACAGAGCCGATGGAACTCTGTTATGTAGAGAGCGAGAAGGCTCGCTCTACAGAATACAAGAAGTTGCAGAAATGCAATAGATGTCAAAAGACAGGACACTACGCTTACGAGTGTAGTGCCCCTCTTCCAGTGTCTCGCAACACTGGGCGTTGTGACCGTCCACCCATGAGAAAGGGGCAAGAACGCGGGTCCGCTGTTGGTGCAAAGACGCAACAACGGGATGGACCGTCAAAAAACGGACAGGATCAGTAGGTGCGGAGCACCCTACTGGTCCAGCAACGTCAAGAGAATTTGTAGGCCTCTTGATGAAGGTTTCTCCCAACACACAAACGTTGTGCGTTGCTGCTCTAGGTAATGAGGTCTCACTCATTACCTTGAAACTCGAAGTGACGAATTAGTTGTCCCTTCGAGCTCTAGTCGATTGTGGGGCGTCCAACAACTTTGTGCGACGCCAATCGCTAGAAGATGGTCACTTTAAATTCAGTGAATGTGACACACCTCCTACGAGGATGACGGTACGTCTTTCGACAGGCGCATCCGTAACCATCATGAAGCGTATAGTGAAGATCCACTGTACGCGAGAAGATACCTAATATGACGATGACTTTATCGTATTGGATTTGGATGACAAATTTGATGTCATCCTTGGAATACCGTGGCTCAGAAGGTACGAACCAAAGGTAAACTGGCAACATCGAACAGTAACGATGCCTGCCGTGTTCATCAGATGGCCATCTGATGAACGTTTTGGAGCGTCCACGAGCGTGTGGATGTACTACGAGTGAGTGCGATGGCCTCACTTGTGGTACGGTCGTTAGTACGACTGCACAAAACCTTAGTGTACCAAACGGTTACACTTCGGAGCAAGATTCCGACACTTCTGTAGAGACACAGGCTTCGCCGAAGGTCCACCACTCGAATAAGTCGAGTGGACTGGGATAAAGATGTATCCCTAGCGGGGAACATCTAGAAGAGAAACAATCGATCGCTCAGGTTAAGCGAAACGATAATCCTAGATCGACTGGAGAGTCTTTCGTAAAGGATCTCGCTGTGGTTGCGCAACCCCAGCTAGAGGAAGTAAAGGGAATAAGTCCCAAGATTACAAATACGGCGGAAATAAGTTCCCCGAAACCCGCGGGAATAAGTCCCCGGGAAGCCGAAGGAATAACTCCTTCGAGGCCTGAGGGAATAAGTCCCCAGGAAATGACAGAGACATTGAATGTCATAGTCAATAACGGATCAAGCGTAGGCGCTTATACACTTGATCTGATTGCGCCTCCGAAGTTAACTTCGGAGATCACTCAGTTGCCAACGCTCGAACATAAAAGGTTCTTGCGTGATCTGCGTAGTGGCGAAGTCAAGCAGATCTGCGTACTCGTCGCTGGCGACGAGTTTGTAGCCGACATAAGGTCAGCAACAGTGTTCACTAAGAACGAGAGAGTTCTCAGTAGTTCATCTATGGACGAGAGTGTCCTAGATGAAAAGACACGAGTTGAGCGATATGACTCCCAATCATGGGAATCGCTCAAGAAAAATCCTCTCTATGAAGATTTGGTTGAATTCAAGGATGTATTCCCTGAAACTGTTTCGTGCGAATTACCGAAGGATAAAGGTATTCGACACGAGGTCGAGCTTAAACCAGGCTCGAAGTACTGTGTTATGAAGCAGTGGTCACTGCCTCGTGAACAAGTGCTTGCGATCGACAAGTTCTTTGACGATCGTTTAGCTGCGGGCCATGTGAGGGAATCAACTTCCCCACATAGCTCTCCGACCTTCTGTGTGCGAAAGGCCACAGATGGGTGGCGAATTGTGCGTGCATTTAACAAGTTGAATGCTGCAATGGCACCGGCTCAGACGCCGATACCAAGGAAGGACGTAATCATTTATGGTATGTCAAAGAGTACCATCTTTTCGTCCATGGATTTGATGGATGGCTTCTATCAAATCCTTATGCGGGAACGGTATATACCCTATACCGCAGT